GTCTGTTAGCAAAATTCCTCCTAATCCAGCAGATGGATTTAAATGAAACTTTTAAAAAATTGGGTGTAAATCTATAACTGATTACTTTGGGGATTAACCTAATTTAAATTGATTACCACATGCAGGTGACTTAAAAAAACACAAAAATGGCAACAATCTAGTCAGTTTTACAAATGAATTGGATTTTGGTGCAGTTGTATCCAAGTGATTGTCTTAGTTTTAAAGTGTGACATGAAAGTTGGCAGGTGACATGCATTCCTTCAATTTTCTGCACAAGTTAAAAGGTAGAAACGTGGTTTTATGTAAAACCCACAGACCAMTTAGGAAAACCATTGAATTTGGCATCACTGTGTTCAGCGTTCTAATGTCTTGTCGCCACCTGCTGGTCACATTCAGAGCTGCAGCAGAAAAAACAGTTCAATGTGCCACTATTTTAATAATTAATGTATTTGCTGTAAATTAGGTCATAACCCTTTTATAAGATTAGCAGAATCTGGATGTGATGTAACTTTAATCATATTTTGCATTTATTTTTCTTCTTGTTTTGTTAGAACCTGATGAAAACTACAGCGCCTCATGCCTTAAATGCAGTCTATAAAACTCCACATAATGTAGGAAAACATCAAGTACAAAACAAGAAAAAACTGTAGAGCAAAGTGATGATCATATAACTCTTCAGAAAGCAACAATATGTTTGATAAAAGCAGTTTTATTCAAAGGTATTTACAAAATGATCATTTGGCATTAAAGCTATTAATTCCCATCTCTGGATCACAGCTGGTTTTTATCTGTCGATTGATTATTAACGCGCGCTCGTTGATCGAAATAGTTCAAGTAAAAACTGTAAGAGCATCGTTTTCTGTTTAAACCAGCAGCTGCAACAATTCAAACACTCGTTTCATCCTGATTATAGAAAAGAAGCAGGCTCAGAAAAAGAAAAAGGACGTGTCTTCACCTTGAAGGCCTCAGCAGAACTGGAATTTAGAAACAAACAGAAAATAAATATTTTTTTCTCCACAAAAGTAGAAAAGGTTAACGCTGCAGGATAAAGACTTTACCTTCCACCTGTTTCCACACTCGTTACACAGAACAAATGTGGTCATCGGCTCGTCTGCGCTACGTGTCTGCACCTGAAACACACACACACAAACACAAACACACACACACACACACACACACACACACAAACACACACACTGTTTATATTGCCATCATTGCTCTCAGCAGATGAGTGGTCGTGCCACCTGTCAGGGGTTTACCTGGTTGTAGGTGCAGTTCTTCTTCTTGCACTTGCCGCACTGCAGCAGGTCTGTGGTGGTCCCACCAGTTTTGGCCATCTGGTGTTCCCGGATGGCCTCCTGCGTGAGAACGTTCCTCAGCTGTTTCAGCTCATCGCTGGCCATTTCCTGAAACAGACACACAAAACAAACCGCGCGTGAACACGTCAGCGCCTCACAGTGAGGTCCTGAAGGTTAGACCGCAGCTTCCTGCGGACCTCAGCAGACATGGAGGCGATGCGGCTCAGCTCGATGCTGCCCGCCAGCACGTTCCTGCGCAGTCCCGGGTTCTTGGGGTCCTTCAGGTTGCTGATGCGGCTCCTCACTCTGTTCTTGTATTTCATGTCGGTGGCTTTTATCTCCTGGTAGATATGTAGAGTCCTGCGGTCAAGGCTGAAATCACCACGCAGCTCGTTTACTGGTCTTAAACTGGCCCAGACGTGTGGAGCCCAACGTAAATGTGACGAGTCAGCTCAAATAAAAGGATATGATCTTCGATCTCTGCCGCCATGCTGTCGCAGCTCACTCCAAAATCTCTGAAGTCATCTGCTCAAACCAGATTATGTCAGATTATTCTGTTACACGTAGTTTTAAAAAAAGAAAAGCTGTGATTTTAGCCTCACTGTCTGTGCGCAGAGCAGCCGCCAGCATCTCAATGCACTTGTCCCGGACCGAGTCTCCAGTAGCCAGGTGGGGGGGCAGAGGACCTCCAGGAGAACTGAAGCTGGGTGACATCGGGCTTGTCGGGGTGGTGGGAGTTCTGGGGGCTTCGGTTTTGCTCTTTCTGTGGAGAAGATGTGAGAGAACTGAACGGCTTAGCTTGTTATCAAACTCAAATACTGTTCTAAACTCAGTTAATTCTGCAGATACTGAGCTAAAACTGGGCTTGGTAGTAGCTGAGAGTGATTCACAACATGTATTCTAGGGCTAACAAATGCAACATTTCACAACTTTGCATGAAACTGTATGTAGTTATTTCCAAAAATTGACCAAACGGCTTCAGCTTCATCGTTTTCAACATAAAATAGTTTAGAACTCCAATTATAAAGACAGCTGGTTATGTGCATTCTTAAAGAACGTTAGTATGGAGCTAAATTGAGGCCATAAATTTTGTTTAAAAAAAATTAAAAATAATAAGATTGGAAATGAAAAATATATTTTGAACCCAAAGAAAAGGTTCAAAACTAGTTGTCAGATATTACAGTTTTTTCAGTTTCTTTTCTTTTCTTCCAGTTTTGAACTTTTGGTTTTGGCTTGGGGCGGGGCCATTACTGACAGTTCAACACTGTGGTTGGAAAAATATTCCCAGTTAATGCATTCAGGAATTGTGGAAACTGGAAACGTCTTTAAAATATCATTCATTTTCTATGTTTTACGTGGAAAAACAACATGCTTCACTAAAATAAACTGCTTATGTCAACACAAGGAACAAATCTCGGTGGAAAAGATACTGACAGCCACAAAAACACACATACTGGGCTGAGGTGTCACCCACTGTCATCTGCCCCTACGCCAAAACCAAACCAGACATTTGAAGCTGAAAAAAATCCTAGAATAAAAGTTTTGGACCTTTTTTTTCTAGTTTCAAATCTCATTTTTTAACTAAATATAAATTATAATTTTTTGAACAAACTTTATGYCTGAAATTTAGCTCCATAAATTAGGCCTTTAATTAATATTAACATATTAACAACTATTTATAACCTGCTCCTCATATTAGAATATTTTAAAACAGAAATACTCAGTTTAATCTCCATCTCTCATCACCTCTGTTTAAGTTATGTTATGTATGTTTTATTGTTATTTTTATTTGTTGTTTTTTACTGCATTGTATTTTACTGTACGATCTCCTTGAGTGCCAAGAAAGGTGCCTTCAACTAAAATGTATTATTATTATTATTATTATTATTATTATTATTATTATTATTATTATTATTATTATTATTATTATTATATGACTAATATTAAAGAACCTTTCAATGCTGTCCGTAGAGGCTTTCCTCAGTGGATGAGCAGGTGGAGGAGGTTTAGAGCCATAAGATTCTCTCCTGAAAACATAAAGTCAGAAAAATGATTATTTGTGTTTTCCATAAACATGAACACCCATGGTTGCTTTGGTTTACCTTTCCCCTGTTAGCTTCTTTGCTGGTGGTGAGCTGCTTTTCTTTGAATCRGTGGATTCACGTCTGAAGGAGACACTTCCATTAAAGCTGAGTTTAACGTGTTTGATGGAGGTTTATGGTGAATGTCACTCATACCTTTCAGGTCTGGAGTCAGTGGAAAGGCTTCTCACAGGCTGGCCTGGCTTTGAGTCACAGGAATCCTTCCTGCCACAGAGGAGACACACAGATGAGCGACACRAACAGATTATTTATACCCAGATTTACATTCTGCACAGTGAGTCTCATTCCCACGCTCCGGCACACCTGGGTTTGTCTTTTTTAACTTCTGGTGTTGGTTTTTTGGGAGGAGGTGATTTAGAGTCAGAGGAATCTTTCCTAACAAACAAAAAAATAAATAAATAAATAAATAACTTGAGTGCAATTTCAAGCAAAAGCAAGTCAAAGGGTAATGGTCCCATCATTTCATGAACTGCACACATTGCAACGCTCACGACTTGCTAACCTTTCTCTCTTAGCTTCATCTGAGTGTTTTTTTACACACTTTGCCATCCACTGAGTCTTTCCTGCAGAAAGAAAACAGTTTTTGGTGCCAACATAAAGATACAAACTAACCCTAAGAGCAGCAGTTCAGATCCTTTGGACTGGAATCTTTGTGGTAAGGTTGCAAACAGTTAGTATCTTACCTGCTGTAGGTAGCTTTTTGAACAACCTCGGTTTGGAGACATAACCGCACAACCAGAGGTGTATAAAGTACTTAAAAGAAATAACTAAGTAAAAGTAAAAAATAACTCTACAAAAAATGACTACGGTTTACTACGCATTACTTTCACAAATAAAAAAGTACTTAAGTATAAGTATTTTCACACACTTAACTAAACTGGTTCCAAACTGGTTCCACTAAATCAAGTTGAGTAAATCAACTCGGTTAAGTGGAGCCAGTTCCAAAGTAAATTCAACACCTAATTGTTTTAGAGTACATAAACAACTCCTTTCACGATTAGTTTGGTTATACAGTATGTATATTTGTAATGTTTAAATAGGTGTTAAATTTTAAAGTAAAGAAGTATAAGTGTAATTTTTAGGTTTTGAATACAACAAAATAAAACTAAAAGTCACGATTGAGAACAAAAAAACTTGGAAAATTACAAATCCTGTATTGTAACGTAGTAAATACGGGTGTAAATCAGCTTTATCACAATACGATTTCATATTGATTGTTTGGATAACGATTCAATATTTCTCGATATCACAAAGTCTGTCACGATACGATTTCAATTCAATTCAGTTCACGTCTGTGATTAATATAATGTGATATCATCTGCCSATCTAACACAATGACTGTTAGATGGGCAGATGATATCGATTCACATCGAGCATATGATGACGATATAGATCGATATTTTCATTTTGCCTCAATATAACTGAATCCTGAACCATTCAAATCGATATATCGATATTGATCGATGTATTGTTACAGCCATAGTAGTAAATGTACTTAGTTACTCTGGACATGACTGAACTTCTCACCTGCTGTTGCTATTTGTGCTCACTGATAATGACAAAAAAAATATGTTAAAAACTGAGTAATGGAAACTAAACATTTAAATGACCTTTTTCAAATTGGAGTTTGGTCTTGGCTGTTTTGAGACTAGCCGTAAGCTCGTCAGTCTGGTCAGAACAAAACCATTTCTGACGTCATTCAAAGAGTAGAGTATCTTTTTTTGATTAAAAACCAAGCTGTTGATTTTGTAATGTATACAATTCAAGTGATTTTAGATTTTCCTTATTTTTGCATGTATTTTGATGGATTTTATATTTTATTTTGATGTCTATTTTTGTATTGATTTTGTTCCATTTTCGTTAGTTTTTTTTTGTGTAGTTATTTCTATTTTATGGTTTTTTACTGTTGTGTTGTAGTTTTATTCGATTGGGAGTGGATTTTACATAAGCCTATTCAGGCTTTTACCCTTCCCTTGCACGTGAAATATGTCATTTTGAATTGTTATTGTATTCTTTGTTTTACTTCTTATGTGTTAAATAAATAAATCAAATCAAAAATCAAATCAAGAGCTATCTACAACAGGTAAGATAATATTTAATACTTCATTCGGCGCACACTCTTTTTCTGACATCGCCACAGCAAAAACAAACTCACGTGGAGCATTTAGCAATTATTTGTCCTTCCTGACACTCGAACCTGCAGCCTCAGAATTACACCGCAACACTGACCACCGAGCTACCGCGGRGCTCTGTACCTTTCCCACAGAAAGATCTGAATCGCTGCTGTTTCAAACTGCTGAGTTTAAAGTTGAAATAAAAACAGCGTACAGTCTGAGACTAAATCAAACTTGTTTTTTTTGTTTTGTTTTGAACAAAAAGTAAAACCATTCCCAGATGCCAGACCTGTCTTTTTGTCACAGTCGGCAGTTTTTTTCTGTGAAGGAGGCTTGGATTCTGTGATCGACTTCCTGCTGCTGCAAACGACATAAAAGATTCAACGCAGAGGGAAACTTCAAATAAAAATATATGCCTTTTTTTATATCTAGATTCTTCCAGTGAGTTTGTAAAAAGAGAGACCTGTCTTTGTCTTTTTTCCCATCCACAGAGGGACGTTTTGCGAGAGGAGGAGCAGGAGGAGGGTGCAGATGAAAAGGGAGCGGAGGAAGAGGAGCGTCGGGGTCAGGAGGCTCTTTTCTAAACACAAACACATCGTTCAGCCGACCTGAAGCACCTCAAGCTGAAGAGGAGCGTGAATATCAGAGCGTGGGTGGGCATGCAGAGCCTCACCTCAGAGGGGGAGGATGAAGGTGGAGAGGAAGAGGAGCGATGGGGGCGTTTGGGTCTGCTGGAYCTTTCCTGGCGTAAAAAAAAAGGTTTAAAAACGAGCTTTTGTTTGAGACTGATGTGACAAARATGAGACCAGCTGACCTCTCCTTCCTGACCTCCGCTGCGGGGCGCTTCGCGGGRGGGGAGGCTGGGCGGGGAGCGTGAGGGCAGGGCTGCCGGGAGGCGGAGTCTTTACCGTCCTTCCTGACCACAGCACACGCCGCGACAGGACAGGTGAGAGCGCAGCGAGGCGCAGGACACAAACTCAGACCCGACGGGCCTCATCACAGCACGCGCCATGCAACACGCTGGTGAGTGACAGAGACGCCGTTAGCTCATGCAGTTAGCGGTGTCGGGGTCCTGACCTGTCCTTTTTTTGCCCGTCCAGGGCGGGACGTTTGGCGGGCACCGGGGGCCGGGTGGGCCGGGGAGGAGAGGGGAAGCGGGTGGGGTACAGGATGCTGCTGTCCAGCACGCCTCTCCTGAAAGACATCATTCAAGCTGAAGACCTGCTGGAGCTCTGAGGGCTGAAGGTGCTGTCTCTGCAGCTTCTCACCTCTCAAACAGTGTCTTCTCACCAGGTCTCTCTGTCTTTGTCTCACTCAGGGTCCTGTCTCGCTGGGGTCTCTCCTTCTTTGTCTCACTCAGGGTCCTGTCTCGCTGGGGTCTCTCCTTCTTTGTCTCACTCAGGGTCCTGTCTCGCTGGGGTCTCTCCTTCTCTGTCTCACTCAGGGTCCTGTCTCGCTGGGGTCTCTCTGTCTCACTCAGGGTCCTGTCTCGCTGGGGTCTCTCTGTCTCACTCAGGGTCCTGTCTCGCTGGGGTCTCTCCTTCTCACTTAGGGTCCTGTCTCGCTGGGGTCTCTCTGTCTCACTCAGGGTCCTGTCTCGCTGGGGTCTCTCCTTCTCACTTAGGGTCCTGTCTCGCTGG